CTAAGACTTAACTAAGATATTCTGTTATTTTGTATTCAAATAAATTTGATTGTCCCCAATTGTGTTCTCATTCACTACAACATAATTACTACAAAATATGGACATTATTACCAATTGGGGTTTGGTTTGATAAGTACTCTATAAAATATACATTCGTTATGTGTTATGATTGCTCCTGTGGAGCAAGTTATATCGGCAGATGTTCTAGGAATTTGTACATTCGGGCTCGTGAGCACCTACCCGTGTGGTTAAGCAAAGGTGTTGTCAAAACTGTTAACAGCTCCATCTTAGACCATTTAGTCCAAACAGGACATACAGCCAACATGGAGCAATCTTTTGCAATAATCTATCGTGTCAACAGCAGTCTACCTAATTCCGTCAGACTGCGAATCCTACAGACGGCTGAAGCAATTGCTATTCGGATCAAAAAGCCAGAGCTTTGTATCCAAAAGAAGTATGTTCAGCCTCTCCTTTTACCCTGGCCAACTAGCTAATAATCAATCTTATAATGTGGTGACATAATCTGATTAATGTTCATTTTATGTCCCAAACTTATTATTATTATTATTATTATTACTATTATTGTCTTTACACTTGATAAACCCTTTTTGAAGAATTTATTTAATATCCACCCCTGAACCTACTATATTTGACCTGATTATTCTACATATTACGCAATTTCCGATTTGTAATCACAATATTCTCTCTCTCTCTCTCTCTCTTACCCCATGTTGACCATATTTATTCTGATAATTTATCTCACAATTTCATTTTGCTTATAAACCGTTTCAAGTTAACACTTCATATTAGTCAGCCCCAACATTAACGATTTTATTTTTATATAACAAACAATTCCTGATTCACATATTACCATTTCCAAATGATGATGTATTTTGCCTTAAATCTGGCCAATTTTATGGATTATTAATCTGGATTTATAATTGTAGAACCTGATGAGAAATTATTGAAAAGAATATTCTTCGTTCATACAATTGCGTTTTTAATATAATGGGAATTTTTCATCAATTATGATTGATTTGAAAAATTAATCCTTGTACTACCACACAATATGGATTTGAATATTTTTTGATTGAGATCATGAACCGATTGATGTTTGACCACTATTGAAAGTCTGGAAGCACTGGACGGTCGTTTCGTCCTACTGTGGGACTACTCAGCAGTGTGCATCCATGATCCCGCTTGCGGGATACGAAATCAGGGTCTTCGGTCCCGCGCGTGAACGCTTAACCTACTGGATCATTGAGCCGGCATCCAATGTTGATAGTGTCTAACACCAACCAACCCAGGAAATTACGCAACCATTTTCCATTTTACTGAGTTAGATACCTGTCTCTACTCGACATGGATTAGCTCCGCTCGTCATGGCTTCTCACTAGAACTCCTAGAATACCCTCACGAAGCTAGTCACTAGTGAGCACATGTTAATTACTAGTATAGGGGTTGTGGAAATTGTTATATTAATAGCAATAGAATTATATTATATTATTCCCAACTTATTATTTATAGTATCTCACGTTCACAATCACTTTTACCTGAACTTTTATGATTGTTATTTTCTATTTTATGATATAAGGCGGTCTGTTTTACTTATATCTATCTATCTATCTATCTATCTATCTATCTATCTATATATATATATATATATATATATATATATATATATATATATATATATACAACTGCTTATATATCTAAAATACATTATTTATATAAAAGAAACTAAGATTGTGTTCTGGATTCCATCAGACAAGAATAACCAATACAGATTGAAAATAGATTCCAGGTTTCTTACGCTGGACAACATGTCATTAGTTGACCAATTTCATACAAGTCGATGTTCTAATTGGTGATCTAATCACGTCATAATAAAGAGCATCATAAAGTTAGTGAAATTAACAAAAGAAAATGTCACAGTTCTATTCTTAGAACTTATCATTACGTTAATGAACTAATTGTTGAAAATAATACATCTAACATAATAACTCTTAATTTAATATTTATTACCCTTTGAAACGGAAATGAAATTCGTATTACATTATTCTATCTAGTTCGAAATTACAAGAAACTATCAGTCGATGTATGTATGTATGTATGTTTGTATGTATGTATGTATGTAGGTAGGTAGGTAGTTATTTAGTTGTTTAAAGGTAAATACTTAAACAATAATGATGTTTCCGATTACAACTTTTCAGTTTATTTCAGATATCATACCATAGTCATTAATATAGAACTAGATCTATAGTTTTCACAAAGACAATCCATTTTAAAACATACTTTACACTAGATTTGACGTTATGCTTTATTACCATGGTTTTTTCAAGTATATAAGGTAATTCAACATGAATTATTGTACATTACCTAAATGCAAATGATAATGTTGATGATGATGATTGTTATTATTTTTTTATTGTAATATCACATTTTAAATATTCTGTATGATAGAAACGATATCATTCAATGATATATAGTTTGTTTGTCGGTCATTATTCTATCCCTTTTTATATCCACCGCAATAATCAATAATTGTACTTAAAATTACCGAGTAACCAGGAAAAATTCGACATCTATTTTGTTTACTTTTTTTATTCTTTTGATAAGTTTAATAGAACTAAGAAAACAAAACATGCTTTTAAGTAGAGGTATTTCAGTATTTATAATGGTGCCTTTAGGTGACAGAAATTTGTTTGTTTTTTTCTTTAAAACAAACTCCTGCCTACAATGTCAGTTGTTATGTTTATGTAATAGTTATAAGCGTTGAAATGACATTTTTATAAGTATAAAGATTTAGTTTCTAAGATGAAATATTTTCATTAGTGTTCGTTTACTTAAATTATAAACTAAGCACAATTGAAACTATATCTCATAAAGCCGATCCAGTGATTTCAATGATAAACTTATACATCGAAAACTGAATAATCTGGTTTAGATCACCGGCTCGAGTTGTGGTTGTCAACATTGAAGATATTGGTCATGAAAAGTATCAGTTACTATGAATTAAGTAATATTTTAATTTTTTCTGGGGCCATATATCTATCATCACAAATCAGTCGCCAGATAGATTTATAGAATAGAAAATATCCGTAAAAGTAGTGAAAAAGTCATTTATAAACTCAGAAGCAAGCATCCAAGATCCAGAACGCGGGATCAGAAACGAGGACGTTCTGTCACGTGCCCGAATGTCTAACCTGTTGTTATAACTTGTGTCCTGAGTGCCCTGTTAATGTATACGTAATGATACCTCCAATTAGAGAGCAGTGAATTATCGATCGGACTAATGACGCATAAAACCCGTGCAAGCAGTCTAGAGTACTTATCAATCCTGCTTCCTGCCTGGCCTAGCCAGTTAAGTCCAGAACACTAATCGCAGCCTCTGCAATATGAATCGTTTATGTCAAACATACTCGGTTTATATACCAACCAAACAGGCCACATCGTACCATGAAATAGGAAACAACATTTGTACAAGATTTAACCAAATATGGATGTGAATGATAGAGGTAGTAATTAATAGACAGGGCATAATTCAAGCATGTTAGATCGTATTATAATAGCTCATAGGTTAAAATAAAGCTCATAATAATTTGGACGTGAATATGTATAGTCTAGTTATTTGACAATTATACGATAAAAATATACGCATAGTATTGGTTCATAAATGGATCCCAAAAGTTACCATTCATTATGCTTATCGGGATATAACACCTGTACACCACTGAATCAGGACTCCACATTGTTAATGTCTAAGGTTCAGCCACTGAGGGTTTTTAGGTTTTCAATGATAGTCTAACATCGATCGGTTCATGATCTCAATGAAATTCAATATTTTCCACAACCCAAAATCGAAAATGATACCTTACTACTTCTTGTATAGTATATATATGTATATATATCCATGTGAACTCTAAGCCAGACAGCTGAATATTACTAAACGTTGTACTGTAGATCATTGTTTTTACGGTAACCTTTTGTATTAAGACATTATTGATGGACGTTAACTTTCGATCAAGTGATCTTAATATTAATTTTCGGTCTCTTCTTTCACATTTCATAATTGTTATTTACTAAAACAGATCAGTTTACTGTGAAAATATGTTGAAACATATAAATATTTGACTAAAATTGGTTTTATCCCCTCAAATCTTAACAATCAAATCAAATGGTATCATAATAAACTTCAGTTATGTAAAATAAGTGACTGAAACTCAGATCACATTTTAAGAACTCTATTAAACTCATAATAGTAGAACATATCGATCTGAAAGTAAACTGTTTAAACTTAGGACCATACGTAACTTTAAATAAATTTCTAATCTTTAAAAATGTTTCCCTATCATGAGTTCAAAAAAAGCGATAGATTTACTTCATTGAATAGCTTCTAGCAAGAAATCCTCTGTACAACGATTAACACACTTACTGTAGTGTGTACTACTGATGTCAACAGATATAAGTAGTATGTATGACCAATCGAAAGTAGAATACCTGATAGCAAACAGTTAAGAAGATCAAACAGAACAAAATGAAGGAATAATACAAATCTGAAATAATTGATTAACATTTCACAAATAAAATATTTACTATATAGTTCTTACATTTCACTAAGACATTCTATAATTTTGTATCCAAGTACATTTCATTATCCCCAACTTATATGTTCTCGTTGACTTTAGCACTTTTATCAATATTAATAACCATAATAAAGTATATTTATATATTTTAAAATAGAAAATAATACAGAATATTAACATTTGTCATGAAATAAATGACATTTCTATATAATCATAATCATAAATCTTTCACAATGTCATCATGATATTATTATACTGAACCAATACATAGTAATAATGGTACGTGTAAATGTATACAAAATACATTTTAACTTCTTTTTACTTCTGTTTAAAATAAACAGTATAGATTAAAACATAATCTATCCAGATAGTTTTATATTATTAACACCGCTTAAGTATCTTGAATGTGTTGATGTTGTTGTTGTTGTTGTGGTGGTGGTGGTGGTGGTGGTGCTGGTGGTGATGTTGGTGGTTATTGTTATTAGTATCTTGTTTTTTTTTAAGCATCTGAAATACGATTTACATTTGATTTATCATGTAATTCACTATGAGTAGTTGAATGATTGATTGGGAAATAATGAATAGAATTTGAATTTCCTTCATTTATAGATGATGGTTGATTCATACGAATCATTGGCAATTGTATATTATTATTGTTGCTACGTGTTAACAAATTTGTTTTATTTGATGAACGTGTTAATTTAGGTAAACGTATTTTAAAACATGATAAAAAGCATGAATAAAATAAATGATAAATATCTTGTCGAAAATTTTTATTTATCCATGCATATATAAATGGATTATAACATGTGGATGAATCACGAGCAAAATTTGCTGCAGCCCATGCTTTAATTGAATAAGATTTAAACCAAAAGTCACGATTAATTAATCCATGTAAATAGATTGTATGCCTTGGTAATTGTGATAAACCATACATTAATGCTACTAATGTTAACATTTTCACCATCTGAAATGAATAAAAGCATTATATAATCGTATACATTGAAAACAAAAAGGTTGCATGAATTGTGTATAGTCATTCTATTTAACAGTGAAAGCTCCTAAATGCCCTGTACGGCCGAGAGCGGGGAGAGTCCGCTCTCCCTCTCCAAATGCTCTCACATGGACACGTGTATATAGCCTCTGTCAGGGAAGTCCTACTCATTGCCTTCTTAGTGGCACTGGTGCTGCTTACGAAAATGAGACGACGAAAAGCGAATGTCCGACGCTTTAACCGGGCCGGTCGAGACGGTGAGTCCATCTAAGGGAGTTGGAAAACCGTGATTCCAAACCAATGGTGCACATGAGCTCCAGTATCCTGAAGGAACAAACGTCGTATGAACTAATCGTTGGTGACTGGCTACCATGGGACTGCATCTCCTTGGGAATCTCCACTGCCTTGTGGATCAGACTTTCAGGTCGAAGGTTCCAAGTGTGGGCCCTTAAGAAAACCATCTGCTTCGGTGTGGGCACCCAGGCAGTATCACAGCCCTCACACATATCAAATGAGATTTGTGTGGCGGATTATTATTATTATTATTATTATTAATGGCTTTATCCAATATTATATTTTAGTACAATATATAATTCTCAGCACAGGGTATTTCAACAAGTTACTTAGGCAACAACAAAAATAAACACTAACAAATACAAAAAAAGTTTTCCTTGTACCAATGTCTATGTCTTAAAATAAATAAATAAAAATAAATAATAGTTACTATCTATTGAGAAAAATATTTCTGAGCTAGTGTATAGCTATTAACTCGTTTTAATCATAATCTTGTTTAGCTTAAGTACTACTTCAGACAGTCACTTTTTCTTTAACAAAAGTTTTTTTGGCGAACATCACGTTCGTATCTACAGAGATCATCAGGTTTTAGTCTAAACTGTTCAATAAACATTGAGTAATCATATAACTAATTAGTATGGGGATTTGTGAATTCACGAGTCAATTTAAATTGGACTAACATTGTAAACCTTGAGGCACTAAACGGCCAGGACCAGTGGAGTCCAATCTATATGGGATGAAGATAGTTATTCGCTTCAGATAATGAATGGTTACAAAAGATCATGGATCGATTAAAGTTAGACATTAATATCGTTGGATAACGGCTCAGTGATCTAGAGGTTAGAGGTTCGTGAGCGAAACCAAAGGTCCCAGGTTTGAGTCCTGCATGCGCAATCTTGGATGCGCACCGTTTAGAAGTCGCATACTAGAACAAAAACGACCGTCCAGTGCTTCCAGGTTATCATTAGTGGTCTAGCTTAGACTGGCTTGCGAATTCAACTGTATAATTATTTATCCAATTGCCAATAGTAACTTTACATGAGATAATCTCATAATATAATCTCATCCCCAAATGCTCTGGTAAGACCGAGAGTAGAGAGAGTCAGCTTTCTCTCTTGAAATGCTGTCAATTGCCCACGTGCATACAACCACTAGCAGGGAAGTCCTACTCACTGAGTTCTTGCGACGGGGGTGTTGTTTACAAAAATGAGAGGACAAAAAGTGAATGTCGGACGCCTTAACCGGATAGGTGTGTAGGGAGGGAGTGGGAAAATCCTGATTCCAAACCAATAGTGTACATGGGTTCCATGATCCTAAGGAAACTAATGTTGTATGGGCCAATTGTCGGCCACCGGCTACCTTGAGACTACCTTGTGGGTCAGACCTTTAAATCAAAGGCTAGTGGTGTAGCCCCCTCTGAAAGCCACCTGCTTCGGTTTGGGAATCCAGGCAGTATCCAAACCATTACATAAGTCGAATGATTTATATGGCGCATATCTATTTGGTGACTTCTTGTACCAATGTTTATGTGTTTAACTAAATAAAAATCAGCAATAAAACACCAACAACTTTCTCTTTCTATCTATGGTTTTTTACAAGATGGACATTTGTTTAAAGATTTACACCCTTTTTGAAAATTATCTTGTGCACAAAAGATGGTAAATCAATCCGTCGAAAGAATGCTTTAATATATACAAACATGTTTTATCTAAAGCTGCAATAGTTATGACTTAATAATTACGTAATTGAATTCTTGAACAGTATGTCAACTAATATTAACAGATATATGTTTATGGATACAAACGTAGTGGAACAATCTCGTAAATGATTATCGATTAATTTATTAAAATTAACGCAAATTAATAAATATGCATGTTTATAATATTGTCCTAGTCAGTCAGTAACAACGTAGAACTTCGAACGTTCGTACGTACATCAGTTCGAGTTGCCAGACCACAATATTGTTCTAAACAAACTATTTATCGTATGCTATACATAACTATAATTCTATTCGAAGTTTTTCTGATTTTAAGGAACGTTTATTTTATAAAGGTTACTTCAAGCTCATTAACTGAAAGCAGTTTATGATGTAGAAACTTTGATGAGGGATTAAATGTTTTAAAAATAATAAAGATGAATCATACATCTACTTTAATGCGTTACATGTTCCTCATTCTGATGATCAAATCTGTTTCAGTTCATATCAAAACTTTTCTGATTGAGATCATGAAGTAATCAATGTTAGAGAGGTAATTCTTAGAGTTCTAGTGAGAAACCGTGACCAGTGGAGATAGTCTGTGTCGGATAGAGACAGGTATCTACCTCAGACAATGAAAGACAATGGCGTAATATCGTGGATTATCTGAAGTCAGGCATTAACACCATTGAACACCGGGTCAGTGGTCTAGAGGTTAAGCGTTCAAACATGAAACCGAAGGTCCTGAATTCGAATTCTGTGTGTGGTATCGTAGAATTCCCATACTAGAACGTAATGGCCATCCAGTTCTTGCAAGTTTTTAGTGGTGGTTTAACATTGATCGATTCGTCATCTCACTCAAAAACTCAACAATCTCTACAACCTCATTACTGATCACATCAAATTGTTTGTGACAATAGATTCTTTGATGTTAGTTATTTCATGTGTTATCATTGGCCAGATAACTTTAGAAATTATTTTATTCTGATTTCAAACTAGTTTTACACTGATCACTCAAAACCTTGTCTTGGTCTGAATACATGAGATATTTAGGTCACGTACATAAAAAGTAATTATGAGATCTCCAGGCATTTATGGAATGATCGATACTTTAAATTATAGTTCAATTTTTGTTACAGCATAATTAGGTACAGCATTGATTTTATTTCTGACATGTTACGATACATTTAATTACTTCCGAGTGGAAGATAAAGCATTTTATTCATTAAAATGAAAACATTCTGACAATATGCTTTTGCTCCATATTTTAGTCGAATAGAAATTTCATAAGAACAACAAGAGTTATAAATGTAAACAATATGACCGTAATTTAAATATAAGCAGATATGGATATTGGCTGGCAGTTGAATTCATGACGCATATTTCGTCCTAGTTGGGGCTCGTCGGCTAGGTGTACCTGCATCTTAGAGTTCACATTCACTCTGGGACTCGGATCCAGTACCGTTCTCTTCAGACGTCATCGCGTTATTCACTGAGCTTTTGAGTCCTGATAGTCAGATAGTCCCAAATATAAAGAAACATATATCCTGGATTCCACTGCTATCCACCACCCATCTTAAAATGCTCGTGAATTATGAGAATATAGAAGCAATACGTATGGGGTGAACAGATGTCAATATGTGACTGATCAATTGAAGTCCTAAACTTCATAGGGACGATTCATATAACCAATAAAATAATGAAGTAATTTAAATATGTTTCATAGTTTCTTATGAAAATCTAAATCCTTTGAAGTTCAGATAAAATATTTCGCTGTGTCTCATAGGTAATAAGGTAAGTTTACAATTTTCTTATGTCTTTATGGATATGGGTTTAGATAGATATTTGAAGTTCTTCAAATAACTGACCGATACCTTTTCAACAAATACAAACCATTCAGTTCATTCATATCATTTTTCTCAGATACATTCTGAAAGAGCAATCACATATACGGATGAAGTACACAAGGAGTACAACAATTTCACATTATTGTGTCAAATACATATTATATACTACGACAAGGACAAGTTATAGGGGTTGACCTAATCAAAATCCTATCATTTAAGATATTCAAGTTACTATTAAGATTGATGTAATTTAATGCAAACGTATCTGATCAAGTAGTCACATTCTTAACAATAACTATATCAAGAAAACATATGCATAATATAAACGTAAAAGTCTCCACCTACTGAACGTTTTGCCTACATATTTAGGAATTGTTTTCTACAAAACATTCACCAATTTATTCTTGAATTGGTTGGAGTTAGACTTTAACACCGTTGAATGCCAACTCAGTGATATAGAGGTTAGGCATTCGCGAACGAGACCGAAGGTCCTGGGTTCGAGTTCCACTTGCGAGATCGTGTATGCGCACTGCTGAGAAGTCCCATACTAGGAAGAAACAGTCGTTCAGTGCTTCCAGGTATTCAATGGCGGTCTAGATGAGATCAACTCATGAATTCAGCCATTAAATTACACTAATTTATTATTTTCACTTTGAACTGAATGTATTTTTCCTTTTGTTAGACACAAAGAAATACAAACAGTTGCGTTTCAAACAAAGAATTATTGTGCTATTATACATTTTTTCACCAACACCAATACCTGGTTGATGCTGACATTGCTTGACAATTGTATCAAAATTATAATCGCAAGCTAACCAAAGTAAATTTAACTTAGGAATCTTAACTGTTAAAAAATTCCAAGTTTATGAATAACAATATGACTTATAACTGTATTTCGTTTCCTATTAGCAGTGTTTTATAACATTATTATTTAGTAATCATCACTTCACAACATCCAACCAAACGTCTCAATTCAACTTATTTATGATGAAATCCATTTGATAACGTCTTCTTTTGCAAAATTTGTTTGAATGTTCATATTGATGTTTAAAACTTCAATTGATCAGTTCCTTATCGACCCATGTGCATCCTGTGCGGATTGCCTTGATATTGCCTGAAATTACAAGGATTATAAG